GCCTAAAGCCACCTCAACACAGTCAACTCTATTCTGAGCCAGGCCTTTATCCTCCCTGCGCGTGCATTGTTAAAGAATCACATAATATGGCACAAACTGAGAGAACCCCACTGAGATCTAATCAGCGCCTCACTATGAACGAGTATGTGTCCAGCGCAGGCTCCAGCCATGTTCATCAGCAGCCATTTTCTTCAATTTAGCTAAAATATTCAACCACAGGCGCGTTGTTTGGCAGAATATTGAGTCTGGTACTAGTATGGCATTCACGTATATTTGGTTGAATTTGTTAAAATGTCTGAGATCCATGACAATTTTGTGGTAAAATCCATAAACTGCATAAAGAAGTGGACTAAGGGAGTGTGATAGCCATTATAAGAGTGAATCTGGAGCCAAGTTCCAGCAAAATATAAACACCAGGAACATGTAGAGCAACAATTCTTCAATGTAAAGAGTTGATGGAGCCTGGAGCGCCCCATTTTGGCTGTGATTTTGTCATTTAGCTCTTATCATACCATGTTCTGAACTCAACATGCACACGACATGCTATTACACATATTTTTTCTATACATCTTTATCCATTGTTTTATTAACCAGGCAAAGGGCTTAGACCTATTTACCCCCATGACTGAATTCACACGCAATTTAGTCAGCTCACAGTGGCTAAATTGTCATGACTAAACAAAGATTAGAATAGTAAAGAGTGATTACAGAACTACTTGCTTTCACTCAACACTCTGTTTTGAGTCTGGTGAGTCTCTGCTACATGTGCAGTCATTCTAAAACAAGTAAGTACACATTTTGGTCCTGCACAAATTAGTTCATCCAATATGCTACATGCAAATTAATTCAAGTAAAAAAGGTTAACCATATTCAAAAGTCCTGTTTCAAATAACACTGTCTGAAAGGTGTCTAAATATAAAGATTATGAGTTTCCTGAATGCAGCCACCCAGTACGGGCCTTTTACTTGCTTGTTTACAGCAAAACTGAAATCCTTCAATTGAGCTGTGCACCTCCTCCATCTATCAGAGGCACTCATTCATGTATGGGCTCAGACGGTGCTATGGGCATCTCTACAGTCATTTGGCTTAAAGAGCACTTCTGCCCTGCATGCTTTTGTGAAGAGCTGACAGTGCACACTCTGTCCACCTGTTCACTGAAGTAATGACCCACAGTAAAGGTACGGAGAGATTTGCATCAAGTCCAGACACCACTTAGTTCTTCTTCCCTTGGCAGTTTCAAAGCACTAATCTGGTCCCAGTAAACCAAGTCCTATGCATGCAACAAATATTGTCATTTTAACATCACCTCCCCTAAATACATCCTTTAAAGGTCACTGTGTCTGGTAGAGGGTACACCACCTACTTGTCTCAATGGATGTTATTATAATTGAAATATAGAAATAATTCTTAAATCCTTTAAGAGCGAGAAAGCAACTGACTTAATTTTTTTCTCCCAGTATAGTAGATGGTAATACATTTTGGATCATAGTGTCCTCTCCAACAATAAACACTAAAAAGATGGAACACTTGTGATGCTAATACTGGCAAAACTTTGGTGCATAAAAAATAAAACGAATAATTATCTGAAATTTTAAGATGTCTTTTTAACTGGAGAGAAATGTGCATTTTTGTCCTGACACAGTATGTCTCCACCTTAAAGATATTAATTGGCTGAACAATAAAATAAATCATTCAACAAGAAGCTGCAAAATGCCAGCAAATGTCAGCAGATGAAAATGCTCCAGTGATTTTCATGTCATCACATAAACCACATACATGATTATACTGTTTCTATTCTATTCCACTGACCAAAACTGCTTTATGTGAAATACCGCAGAACACATTGGTAAACACATCACTGTATTCTAAATACTTGATTTTTGCCTAGTTGAAAATTTTGAAATTTTTGTAAAAGTGTTGGTTTAATTATGGAAATAAGTTTCTGCTAATAATCTTTTGACCCTGAAACTCTCAGCTTGCATAAAATGTGCTTGAATATTTTTTAAACTTATTCTGTGAACAGCAGCAGTTTTGTCAGCACAAATGTAGCTCCTTGGAGACAGAGTGAAGTTGATCAAGCTGACCTGAATTTTTAAATTGACCCTTGAACATTTTCATAATATTGCAACTGATCAATACTCAGTTTTGCCATTCAAATGTACAACTATGCCATTGTCAACTGTATGCCATCCTAACATCAATTTATAAGACTGCAGTCAGCTCATCTGTACCATTTCTTAACTTAAAGAATGCCAAACTGCCACAGCGGAGTTTACATTTTAACCGTAAAGTTATACAACTTCAGTAATATACTATAAAAAGATAGGCAGCTGCAAACATTTAAGATTACATCACTGCTCAAGATAGTTCCACCAAGCATTTTCAAGCATCATCGACCATTGTTCCTCAAAAACTATAGTGCAATCAGATGGACGCACCTGGCTCACTATTGTTTTATCTTAAAATGTGTGAATGTTTATCGCAAAGCAGAGACAAGCGACAAGGGATCGGATCATTGTTTTTTGTGAGCACGCCGCTAGACCCGATGAATATCTCATTATGACGGGCGATGATGGATGTCAGCGGTATAATAAAGCCAGCTGTAGGAGTGACTATATGGGCAAATGAGGCAGATGAGGGCCTCTCCAGTCCATTCTTTGCACAGTGAGGTGTAACAGTGCGGAGTGAGGGGTTTTAATGGCTTTCACTTGTTATTATTCTGTGTGTTGTGACAGCTTGATTGGGCCCGCAGCCATCTTTTCATGGATCTTGTATTTGCATGTGGCCTGGTCCTTCCACTGCAGCTTCATGTTGTTATGATAATTTCCATGGAGTAGATTGTGTTTAGCTGGGTGCTCCACTCGGGTGCTGTCTGTGCGCGAAAAAGCCCACAGCAAAGAGATAATAATGAACACATCAGAACAATGCCAGAAGGAAACTCCACAAGTGCCAGCTGCAGTAGAACCATTTAACTGAGGACTGTGGATACCTGAGGAGCTATGGACAAAAGATAATGAACACCACAAATGCCACTGAGTTTCCTTCTTGTTTTGCTCTCTGCTTTAAACATTGTTACTATGTTAGTTCCTTTTGAGGGTCTGGGGTTGGAGACAGTGGGTTGAGTAGTCGCACAGCAGCCAGAGAGTCAGTAGTTTGAACATTTCAGACATTCCTTTCTTTTCAGGGTTAGGCACTTTACCTACTGTAGCTACAAAACACTACTTATGGGAGGAGCAGCAAAAAAGTCCTTTCCCGAAACAGTGAATTATTATGTCTGTCTTTCATTAAAACAAAACAAAACTATTTTTAATGCAATTTAGTAGATTGGCTAAGATGTCACTAAACTCAACAGTGCAAGTGGCACTCTGCAGAAATCATAGCATTTAGGAAAGCTAATCCACTTTTGGCATTGCTATTAGATATATGGGGTGTGTGATTTCAGAGCACCACTAACTAGGAATTTATACAAATCAGAGTCAAACATCTCCACTTTATGGTTACATCTTGACTGACAACATCTAATATGTGTAGATGCTTGTGCAACATGATCCAAGTGTTGAATGGAGTGCTTCCTACTTACAGCTGAAAAACAGGACCTGACCTCTTTGAATTTTAATCAAGATATTCTAGATTTATTAGATTAGGGATTGATCATTTTGACGGTAAGATTTGACCCAAAATGTGCATATCTGGTTCATTGACACTGCTATCATTACATTGGATATGGAATACAGACAAACAAACAAACACTCTAAACACTAAAAGACAAATAATTAGTACTTTAAGGCATTTCTCCCTGTTCAGAACGAGGAAAATCTACTTTGGTCCAACACAGATCTATGAATATTGCTGAATGAATTATGTATCCTTTTTTTTTCTTAACCATGCATTTTAATTTTAATTAAGCATATAGTTTATGGTGTTAACCCTTTATTTCTTTACCTTATCCATGTCATAAAATATACTCTGAAGGTGAACTGGTTTGTAATACCATGTGATTGGATAAAACAGTGACATTAAAATTCAACTCCCTACTCTAGAAACACACTTTTCTGTTTTGGTTTAAAAAAAAAAAATCACTGCAAATACCACTTTTCCCTACATCCCTGGGTGAATTTGGATCCCATTTTATGCATCCCCCTGGTGTGTTTGTATGTCTGCGGGCTGTGTGTTTATGAGTGTGTATCTTCTTCACGCACCTGATGTTGATCCAGGGAGAGGTAGCTGCCATCTGCTCAGGCCTGGGGGAGTCCACTGGCCCCTGGAGGTAACAGGTAGCTCGGCTGACACATCCAACTCATCTCCAACCCACCACACAGCACATAATGAGGGGCAGACAGCTGGCCACAACCCCCTGAAAACCTCAGTCCATGCCAACTCCACAAAACTGTCAGAAGCTTCTGGCCATCTAAGCACTTTCATTGGTTTCTACTTTTTATATTGCTGGGGTGCTGTTCTTTTCAAAGTCCGGGAAAATCTATAAATGTATCTTCAAAAAAAAAACAAAAAAACAAAACACCAGCCTTCAGTCACAGCTCAATAGTTAGGGTTTGGTAGTTGTACGATTCGACCTACAGAGGGCAGTATTTCAAAGGAAACTCCTGCTGGGACGTCTGGCGTTTATTTTCTAGAATCCAGCCCCAAAATGTACAGTTTTCATTAAATTAAGAAACTTAACACATCTATTTTGAAAAGGACACGTGGTGATATGATGGTAAGGCAAATTTCCCATTCATTTCAACTCATTTTATGCTTTCATTAATTCGTTTGTTCATTCACAAAAATAGTTTAAGAAATAATTATTGTGCCAGTTTCCTCCTCCATATTCCTGTAACATTATTTATTCTCACTTTACATTATTATGCGATGTAAATTGTGCCAAAGCATGACGCGTTACCGGTTGGGTCTGTACGTGAGTTGCAAGTGAACTGACGGGTGACTTCATGTGTAGCACCGGCATCTCCACACAGCTAGAGCTAGAGAGAGAGAGAGGAGAGGGAGAGAGGGAGAGGCTATTTGACAGCCTGTTACAGAAAATGATCAATCCCTCTTCGAAGCTACCGACTTGAATCTCTCTCTCGGGAACATGCACCACGCTTCGATCCACATGACTTTACGCACAAAACAACCGCGTGCGATTTGAATGGACACCGCCACTGTTGTTTGCATCTGTAGCTGACTGCCCGAATCCACGCGAAACAACCGGATCTATGTTCCACTGGTGACTTGTTCTCCTATTTCAAGGTGAGTAATGCGGGTTAATATTGGTAAGGCAACGGGACGCATTTAATGGTGAGTTTGGACACTGCAAAGTTGGAATTGACTTTGCCCGCGTTGAACCTGCTGGAGGTAGTGACATTGAACGTTTTGAATGAGAGGGGTAACACGAGTCTCTCCCGCTTTGGGCAACCTGTAACACAGAACCAGTCTATTGTAACAGTACTGGGTCATACTCCGAGGACTAGACTTAGTGACTGTAAATGCACTGTAGCTCACAACAATCACATTTGGTTGGAGTGCGCGTAAATCCTTTAATCGGAAATGGAAATGTGCTTGTATACTAAACAAAGCCTGCCCGGGATTTAGGTCCTCACTCAGCGCGTGTTAATTGTTCCGGGGGGTGCTTCAAATTGCAGGTGATCAGGAGAACAGTGGAGAGAAGTAGGATACGGGTCCGCCAAAGTCAAAGTGGCAGCCGGAGTGGAGCAGGAAGGGCTGAGATGGAGATAAGAACACGAGCTTAAGAAGTAGCGCACACACAGCTGTACGCGCTGCCAACCCGGACAATGCCGTGATCCAAGTGCGTCTCAGCGCCTGTTTGTTTGTGGCAGAGGGGCTTGTGGTTGAGTTCATGGATGTGTAACCCCCAGCAGCCCCCTCATTCAAACCCCCTTCACCCTCTCCTCACGTGCACTCTCTGACCGGGCTTATCTGGACGGCCAGTTGGACCAGCCTTTATTCTCGTGCCCCAGCAGAGCAGCTAAAACCTCTGATGAAGAGAGCCCGAGATTGGCTTTCCCCCCTGTGCTCACCCATGCCAGTCATCTACCAAAGCAGCTCTTTATCAGTGCTTTGCTAATTTTAGAATTTAAATGAATTTCCACATTAGCTGCCTCTTTTTCTGAGTTTGACAGGCGTCTGAGTTATGGGCTCATCTTTGAAGAAGTTTCAAATAATCAAACTTAATGCTGATGATTTACTTTTGAACATGCACAAATTCTTCCAATTAGCCTAATAAGATAGACCTAGTCATTTTGACTTCTTATGCGGATGCCAATAATGTAAAATTGGTTAAATGCTTAAAGAGGAGTAGGTGGTTGAGTGTGCATTTAAATCGATCTTGATAATGTATATGTTTAAGAGAATCAGTGTCATTGCATGTATTAATTAATTTAAATAAAACGTTGGACCAGTGTAGAATGGAGATCTCACGAAAGTACTGAATGATTTGAATTGTTGTGTGTGGCATCTACATCTTTTTTTATTCCATTTTAACTGCTACCACCACTTTGCTATATGATAGTAACAGCACAGAGAACATACCACTGAGGGACCTCTGAAAAAGTGCTTTTAATATAAATGTGTGCTGGCTGCATGGGTGACATTGATTGCACTGTAATTTGAATATCAGAGTGGCCGATATGGGTCAGGGGCAAAGAGGCACACACTGGAATACTACATCAGACAAATTAGTGAATGTAACACAATTATACGGTGCGTGAGTGCACTGCAGCAGCTCAGTGCTATGTACTGAAGACCCCCCTCATCTCCAGTCGTCTACCCTCAGCCCTCCCTCCTCCACACGGTTGCCCACGGAGACGCTGATTAAACACGACTGTTCAGATGCTACAGCCCGAGGAGGGAGAAGATGTAGAGCCCCCGGTTTGTGGGTATTGAGTATGGAAGTGTTTCCACGTATGGAACAAACTGCCTGGGTGTCTGTGGTATAATGATGCTTTCTGGAAGTGCATTGGTGTATGTATGAAGCTGCATGCACACAAGAGCCATGGAAATGATGGCAATTGTAAAGATTGCCTGTGGTAGATTGAAGAAAGTTGTGGTAGGTAAAATTATACATTAGTATAGAGCTATGCCAAATTATTACATCTAAAACCAATGCTCTTGTAAGGTGAACCTGGTCTTCATGTCCTTGTGGGACAATATATATTTTTCAATATTCTAAACTTTTTCAGGTAAAAGTACTTGAGGGACGCCTGGTTTTTGGCACCTGAGTGGTACTTTTCTGTACCTATTTATGGATTCATTCATTCTTTTGTGGTGACAGTGCCCAGAAATAATCTATTGTGAATATTCTGGACCCACTAGATATCAAAACATGTCAAAACAAATGTTGGAAACCAAACATTTTGTTCTGTACTGTCCTTCTAACTTTGAACAATACACAGGCCTATTCCAGTATGATCCAGTCCAATGAGCAAAATAAATAAATTCTGCTAAATCAAAGGAGTTGGAATACATGGGCAGTAAGTGAACATAAACTTAATATATGTGTATTTTTGTTTGATCTAATTGCATTGCTTCAGCATGAACTGCATTTAGCAAAAACTGTAGACACAAAGCTACTGATTTTAATCAGTATTTGTTTGTTGTCAGTCTCCATGCTGGTTTCAATATAAAATCCAAGCCTAGAGCAGGATAGTGTTAGAAAAGGTGAAGAGGAGTGATAAGTACAAATAGATCCTCATGTCTGTGATGGAGTGATGTAGTGACAGTGGAGGAAGAGGGAGGTACCAGAGTCTAGCGCGTAGCTCACCTGGCAGATGGTACCATTGGCAGTGCTCAGCGTGCACTGGAGCTGCTCCTACAATATGGCGTATCGGATCCAGATTGTCACACTGTTGTTGTGACAAACAGAGCAGGAAGTTGCTGATGTGTGTGTTTTGCATCAGTTCTGCCGGTGTGTGTCGAAGCATGAACACACAACATATGGCAGTTTGAAATATCAAAGTCACAGGGATCAGTTTTAAAAAGTGGTGACAGGGGTCTTTTAAAGTTTAGACTTTGACTCTGAAATTAAGGATGCACTGGTACTGATACTTGTACAGTCATTGGTATCAATTTATATTTGGTTTTGGCAAGTTTAAGTTCAGAACTGAAAAAAAAAAAAAAAAGATTGTACATGGCTACGGTAATTGAAATCCTGTATGTTGAAATTACATCTTGAGATAAAGCAATGTAGTGGATTAAAATAAGAATTAAGATAGCTTCTTGCTTCCACAAAAGTAAATATATTTTTTAAACTAAATAAAACGACCCAGACGACTGGCCAGTGTTGCCGGAGCGAACTAGAGGAATGTTTGGAGTGCAAACATTTGATGAAATTGAGCCATCATTCCCTCCTCAACGCCCTCTGCCCTCCCACGAGGTTACACAAAACCATGACCCAGAATCTCCAGACGTCATCTGATCTGCCCAGCTTCACGAGCAACACTTAAATTTTAATATACAATTAGTGGTGTGAAGAACTGAACAATGTTACTAATCTTAGTCATTTTTAAAAGTAAAATGATTGTAATGTGTGACCAATTAACCCTCTAAACACAACAAAAAGCTGATTTTTCTTTTTTAAATTTATTTGAATTACTTCTATATATAGATCTACCATAAATTGTCTAAAATAGAGATCTATTGTATTGGTAGTCTCACTTGTTTCTTGTGTTTTTGTCCCTAGCCTTTCTATTCCTGAACATTTAACTTGATATAGGCAGCAGGATAGAGTTACATGGTTGTGGGTACAATTAGGGCCAGACTGAGCTGGGTCAACCGTGGAGACAGACTGTGATAATCTGGGCAGATGCTTGTATTTGTACAGCTTTTTGGGTGCATGGCCTTTCCAAAGCTGTATTTGCTCCATGGATTAAATGTTTAATGGGTTTTGGAGCAGGAGATACTTAGAAAGAGAGAGAAAAAGTTGTGCATGAGAAATATCCCCACCTCTTCCCTGTAAATCTGCATGTCCTCGCGCTGCAGTGATTTGTCAGCACTGAAGGCAGCATCTGTTCCTTTTACATTGTAATTTCTTTGATCGTAATTATTTGTGCCAGCTTCCTCAGACCTTGCCATCCCCCTGCTCCAAGAAGCCATATGGGCAAGGAGAGAGGAAGAAAGCAAGCAAGACATCTCAGGAATAAGTTCTTTGATATCGGTGTGCAGTGGTGTGAGAATTATGGACATATGCACAGCTTCTCGTGGCTGCACTGCATCAATGAATGAAATTATTTTTTTCATTTGTATATACAGGGGCCTTGGGCAGCAAACGTGATGCCAGATCCTAGTTATTGATGGTTATAAAGCAACACTGACATTGAATTTACTGTAAAGAAACACAAAATATACTCACACAAACCAAGACAACCATACTCTCACTGTTGCCCATTTAGATTTACCATAACCGTTAAGTGTGCTGGCCAGTACGGAGAACCATTCACCCTCACAGGGATTCACATGGAAGATTTGTCTTAACACATTCATGTCTACATGGGAAGGAAGAATTTTAGACTCATGAGACAGCAATCGATAGTTTTGGTTTGAATAACAGGAAATGTTCCCCTAATTAATTAGAGTCATAGTTTGGTAAGTTTTATGGAAGGCCAAGGACTTTACATTTTGCTCTTCACCTCAAAAAAGGCTGCTGAAATGGTTTTCCAATGCGATCTTTTACTTTGACTAAAATGATCTGAAATCATATCAGAAATCAGTTTTAATCACCTAAAAAATGTTTGGTGAGTCATTGTTAAATTACAAATGAATGGATCTTATTACTACAAATCTGCCAACTGGGTCTTGTGTTCAAAGTTATTGAGGCAAATAAAAATGTTGAATCCTGTTACGTCTGTGCTCTGAAGCAAAGAAACTGCCTCTCAGATTTCACTATACTCATTCTTCATTCCTTACAGCTGTACGAGCCCACTCACCCAGACCCAAGTCGCCGTCCATCTCCTCCTGTTTATCCCTTCTTCTTTCTTTGTGCACTTAAGAAATATCTCTGCCTGGTCTCCACTTTCTTGCAGCCCCTTAGTCTGCCTTATTCTGGTTGCTGAATAATAGAAGAAGCTGCCTATTGCACTTGGACTGCACGGGTTTACATCACGGCACTGGAGGTCACTTTGACTTTTCCCCCTCTTCTCTCATCATATATGCAGTGCAACGGCTTCTGCGGTTAGCTTTGGCCTGCTTGGGGTCACCATTAGCCGGAAAAGAACGACAATGAGATTTATGGAGGA